TAATATTAATAATTAATAATACTAATTAATAAAATTAATTAATAATAAAAAATATTAATAATTATTAATAAAATTAATTAATTAATATTTATAATAATTTATAATAAATTAATAAAAATAATTAAGAATTTAATTACAGTAATCAATTTATTTATTAATTGTTAACGTTGCAAATTAAATTACTAAAAAGTTATAATAATTAAAAAATCATCTAAAATGTTTTATTACAAAGAAAATATTAAAAGTATATACCAATGCTTAAAATCTCTAGTTACGGCACTGAACTGAAACATATGTGCAGTGGTTATTAATTCTCAGTATCCATTGCGTTGAACGGCCGAGTGCGTTAAGCGGTGCGACTTTAGTCCAGCGGGACCCGGGTTCGCTCCCCGTTTCCCCCCCAAGATTTTTTCGGTGAAATTGCGTTATCGTTTTAAGGTTTATATAGATTATAATTGTTTATACTAATAAAAAATATTTGTTTCAGTGTTATTGTTAATAATAGTGCTTTAAAAAAATGGAAGTTGTTTGAAAACAGTAAATATTTAGGATATTCGAATTTAGAATTTTTTTTAATTGAATTGAAAATCAAAAAGTAGTATAGAAAATTACATGTAATAATTTACTATTCACATTATTTTTATATAATAATTCAACTAATTAATTAAAAATTATAAAATATTATATAATTTTTATTCTATTCCATTTATTATGTATATATTATAATGGATAGAGAAATTTTCCAAAAATATTTTTCATTGAATTTCTTTGGTGCTAAATAGAAATTTTATATTAATTGCATGAAATAAATGTGTTAACTACAGTAAATCTGAATATTAAACAAATTTTCAGTATTTTAAAAGAATTAATTTGTCTAGTTTTTATACAGAACCGTTGACCAGAATTTATAAAGTTGGGCTAGATAATAACTTGATGAAAAAAGCGTGACACTCCATTCCAGTTATTAGCCAGTTGGCTTGTAAAGTAACTAGACAATTTCAAGCGCGACTGTAGAGTTCCTTTATAATAACTAGGACAAATTTCTACTAGGGCGTCTTATATACTCAATTTTGTCTTTAAAAGTCATTCAAGTAATAAGTCAAATGTACCAGATGATAAATTGAAAATATGACCTATTATCTCTAAATCTCAATCTCTTTATAAAGTGCGAATTGTCAGACAACGAAATGTCATTGTATAATTATTATTTATTACATTATTTTTTTGTGCACTTAATTTGTTCTGTTTCATTATTAAATTATTAATTCTTTTTACTACTGTTAATTCTCGAGTAATAATAATAATATTAATAATAATAATAAAACCGCTGTCAAGTAAAGATGAATATATTGTATTCATTTCATGAAAACTTTGCTTCCTCATGGAGATTTTTTTGATCAATTTATTTTATTTTTTTATTATTAGGTAAATTTTTATTATATAAATTCCATTACATTAAACACTTCTGCTTTTATTATTAGGTTCAAGAATAAGTCAATCGAAACGTTTTTTAATGCTCTACAAGTTGATTATGCGACTTTTAAAGTTAGTGCTACATTTTTTAACAAAATTTTTAAAAAAGTCTTATTTTGAAAAATTTTAGATTTTTAGAAGTTTAATATCTCTGGCTAGTATGGACGAAAAATGTTCAAAAAGGGCTCAAAAGATGCGTCTAAAAAACTTTTCAACATTAAGAAAAAGCATTTATAGATGTCCTAACATTTTTTTAAAGTTATGGGCAAAAAACTTTTTTCTGTAAAATTAAAAATAAAAAAAAAATATAGGTAGTTCAACTTTATTAATCTATCTCAAAGTACTCTCATTTTATTTTCGCACGTGGCACCTTCAATTTAAAAAAAAATTCATCCCTAAAGCTCTTCATAATTTCAATAAATTTATGAAAATGTAATGTTTACACACATACGGAATGACATTTTTTTATTCCAATTTTTGGTATTACATTATTTTATTTATTTTGTTTTATATTTTCTTTTTTTATTATACCAACCCCACATAACTTTGGAGTGCGGAATCCAAGGTATCTGTAGGCAGATTTTCCAAAATTCCCTAAGCAAAAAAAAAATATTTTTTTTAAAAAGATGAATAAAAGGGATGAATTTTATAAGGCCTGAAATTTTTGTCTTAGTTCTGTTACAAAAAATGGGAGGTGATTCTGATAGCTTTTTTGAAATTGAAAACAAATCTGACCTTCAAAATGTCTCATCACTTTAGGATTTCTTGCAATATTGGCCTAAATGTAAATGGCCAAAAATGTCTATTTTTGACATTTTTCAAATTTTTTATAATTTACAAAATTGCATCATATAGTACTATGTCTAAGCTTTAAAACCCATTTTTAAAAATCGTTTTACGATTTTTTTTAAAAAAGTTATGCAGATTTGAAATTTTTTCATTTAGGCAAATGTAGGTTGAGAATTTTTGAAATAGAAATTAAATCTGATGTCAGATTTAAGAAATTAAAAATTACTCGGGGGTTTCTAGGGTTCATAAATCTAAATATGAGGTCAAATCAAAAATGAAAAATAGCTTGTAACTTTGTTATTTTTGTTCCAAATTCAATTATTTTTACAAGTTTTCAAACTAAAAAAGGGTTTTTAATGGAAAATTACGATCGATTATTGGCACATATTAATATTAATCAATCGGCTTCAGATGTTCGAAAAATTTTTCTTCTTATATTGAAACCAAACTTAGGGGTTTTTAAAATAAAAATATAACTAGAATTTAAACTATTTATCTTTAAATACACTGCGGATATTTTTTAAACTACTTTTTATTTGAGATTTAATAAAATTTAAGCATCACACGTTCGGATTTAAGAAATATTGTTTTTTGACATTACAAAAACTTGTTTTAAAAATAATTTGAAGCCTCCAAATGCTTTAAACTATAAGGCTTTTAATGTAACTACTTTTCATTCTTATCTTTTTTGTAAACTTGAAATGTCCTTGCAATTGAATTTTTTCAGATAAAGTTTTCAAAGCTAAAAGAAAATTAAATAGAGTAGTTTAAAATTTTGAACACATTCAAATATAAGAATAGTTTTTATAGTTGTTCAATGTTGAGTACTTACCTTCAGGAGCTGAATCAAGTTCTGAAGATCAGTTAAAAAGCACCATTTATTTATAATTTACAAATTTTCTATACCTTAAATATAAATTTATTAATATATAAATCATTAGTCTTAAAATAATTTAATAGTAACAGTACACTTAAAAAATATTTTCTTCTTTTAAAAATATTTAATAAATTTTGAATGTTTATATTTAAAATTATTCTTCGAACGTACTGTTATATCCGCACTCCGAGAATTCTGTCAAGGAACTAATCGACAAAAGCACTTAAAAATAATATACATACAGGTGCTAGTTACAAAAATGCTTTTCTTATCATAGAAACTTAAAACTCTGACTAAAATCAAAAAATTTGTTGAGAAATTATAGAATTTTCCTTACAATATCTTATTGTTTTTCCAAAATAAATAACTCATATAATTTATCTGGCAGAAATATTCTGTTTTGTTTTATTACTAGATATTCCTAAAAAATTTGTCATAAATATTAAAATTATAACTTTAAAGAATAGCAGTTTTTCGATGAATCATAGGCAAATATTTAGATTTGAAAAAATAAGGAGTGTTTTAGAAAGCTCTTTTTATGTACTTTTTAAGTAAAATATTATTTAAAAAAATTTTTTTAAACTAAAATTTTTATATTTTATACTTTAAATGAAGTTTTTATTGTAATGCGACATCATGAATTTTTTTCTAAATAGGGGGAAGTAAATTTAACCCCCTTTAAAATGAGTCGTCAGCCAAAATGGGAAAACATTTTTTGTCAAAGTTACAAGACATTGTAGCCGGCGATACCCCATGAACAATATTTTTTGCTCTAATAATATTAGAGCGCTAATAAATAATCTTACGAGAAAGAAAGGAAAAGAAAAATAAATTATGTACAGAAGCAATATCAAACTATACCACCATCAAACAAAACCAACTCAATTTCCATTTAACATTGTTTTGCTCTTACGATATTACAGCACTAATTTAGAAAAACATGGATGAATAATTTTACAAGAAAGGAAAAGATAAATAAATTATGTACAGAAACAAAACCAACACCAAACAAAACCAACCAAACTTTTATAAAAAATTTTTTTGCTTTTACCTCTGTATTCAAATGCTAGAAGTCTTTATTATTTTAAGACTATTTACTTCTTTCTCTTTGTGATTTTGGTTTTAGGAAAAACTTCCGATTCATTAGAGCCAGAATATCTATTCAAAATAAGTTTACCCCTATTTTCAGAAGCAAATGAATTGTATTTTAAGGTACCTGAGATACTTTCAGCTTTAGCAAATCTTTCTTTTAACGCATTTGCAGTTTTCTCAGAGTCTTCTTTCGCACTATAAAAAACTATCGTTTCAGTAAAATAATCTTTTCCCCATTTATATAATTCCTCTGAAGTTTGAATCTGATCTTTTGATGATCTCTGTAAACAGGCACGTGCGGCTTGACGTTTTAAATTGACACCTCTTCCATCGCATGGTTTTTTTCCATGGGCGCAGAAGCGTGGAAGTGTCATTCTGCTAAAATGCCAAAATCGAGTTCGTGATGACGAAGATTTATGAAATTATATTTATTTTTAAAGTGCTGACCTGCACCGTCAGAAAAGTAAAATGTTTTCTTAGGATTAAATTTAGTTTCCAACTAATTTATTATAATAGTCTGATACTCATAGACAGCGGCTGTATCATGGAGTAAATTATTAGACAAAATTGCTATCGATAAATGGTTTCTCATTTTCTTTAAAATATACCACAACAATAAAAATCGAACACTGGTCATTGTTCCAGTAGTGAGATTGGGCTGAATTTTGTACTACAAAGGCAAAATTTTCAGTAAAATCTAATGATATAAGAAACTGATCTTCACTTAACCCTCAGGTTACTGACTGCGTCAGCGTAACCCAAAAGACTTTTATAAATAGGGACATATTTTGAAAGAAGTCAATCCATCACAAAGTTGATCAATAAAATCTTCTCTTTTCGCTACTTCTGTTTTTAATGTACACCTATCAGTTTCTTTCCAAACTTGGAATTCTACTGAATCAATTAAGTATGTATGGAATAATGTGTTAAGGTGATGTTTAATTACACTTACATTCGGACATAGACTACATTGATTAAGATGACAATCAGGATTAGGATTGTTGCACATTATACACTTTATGCAATCCTTGAATGATTTAAGAGGTAATTGAGTATCCTTAGTCATTTTCTCTAAATCCATAGCATCCAACTTTAGATTAATTTTCTCATGATGGACACAGACAGAAACTTTATGAGTTCCGCGCTTGATCCTGCAAGAACACAATGGGAAATCAAAATTTTGAAACTCCATAACTCAATAAATATTTTCTCAAATTCAACAAAAATTTATATTTACACTTCTACTGCTAATAGTAACATTTTAGCAAAGTTTCGAGAGAATTCATTTTTTGATCTGGGCAGTTGAGGAATGTTGCCCCATATTTCTTTATTGTTTATTTTGGACTTCTTTATTTTGGAGATTTCTACTGTTAAACTTTTGTTTCCTTGAACTTTCTTTCTTGGACATTTCGGACAAGATTTTTTTGGTTTAGACTTTTTGTCCTGTAATCGTTAGCAACTAAAGTAAACTACTATAAGGAGTCTACATTATCAACAGCGCACGATTTGAAAAAATTATACAGAAATAAGAAGCAATTGGCTGCCTCACCTTGTTCTATTCTATGTAAAATTACTAACTTAAAAAATGTACAATAAATGTTAGAAATTACTTTTACCCTTTCGTACCTCCGGTACATATATGTACCACTTAAAAAATTTATCATTATTCTTAAAAATTTGAACCAATTAACTATTTATTTAGCTTGTTTTAATCACGAAAGTTACTGCTATTTGTAAAAATAATATAGAATTACATAGTTCAGTTAAAATTATTATAAACAACAGGTAAAATATTTATAAGAAAATAGCGAAATCTAATTTTTCAAGATTTCCTTATATTTGCTTAAAACTTGTTACTCAGCGGTTTTCGGGGTCGCTGATTACGAATCTAAAGTTACATCAAAATTTAAAATAGTAGACATTTTTTTAAATCTGCTCAAATTCGCTTGAAAATTGTTATAAGGGAGGTTTTCGGGGTCACCATTTGGAATTTTTTAAATCTGACTTTAGATTCGTAATCAGCAACCCCGAAAAATTTAGGATGTCAGAAAATTATTATTTTTAACCTTCCTTTAAAAATATTTTTATTATTTGAAAAATACTAATTTTGTGCCTGGTAAGAGTAATAATTTATAACATTTAAGGGTTAGTACTGATTTGTGAAAATTTTATTTATTGAAAATAACCTTAAGAAGACTAATTATATTGATACCAGTTTTATAATCCAAATTAATATGATTAATTATTTTAAATATTTAAATTTTAAAGTATATAAATAAATAAGTAAAAACAAGTAAGTTTAATTACAATCGAACGAGTGTTAGCGAGTGAGATATACGTCGCTAGTAATAAATAAATCGTAGATTGCATTTCAGAATTTGTGAAATAAATCTACAAACATGAATAAGACATATGTGGTCATATTTTGAAAACAGAGATTACACAATTTGGTTAAAAGCGAAAAATAGAAAATATTATGACGTAAAAAGCTGGTAGAATTAAAGATAGTTAATGTTTAGCCTTGATATTAAAAAACTTAAATCTAAAACGACTTGCATAAAAATTACGCTTGGTTGACTCTGGTAATAAGTATTCACCCACTATTCCAACTTACTATCAAGTGTTTTTTTTCAAATGGTTGACAGTTCAGTACTGCGGAATATAAAGTACTGCTAAATAATCTTCGATACTACAAAATATTAAAAATTATTTTTAAATCCATACGATTAATTATTCAAAACAATGTAAAAAGTTATTAAAAATTTGTCAATAAATGTTTAAAAAAAATTGTGACAGGAGTTGAATCTTAAAAAAATCACCCCAGTGTCATTTCAAACTATCAAAATTTGCATTTTGGAGGGAAGTCAATTTTTTGTACATTCTTTAAAATCTAGAACTGTAATCTATAAAAAAGTAGAACAAAAATACAAAATACTTTTATTTTTAGTTTTTTTTAGCAAATTCTGATCTTATAACAAAACTGCATCAGGATGAAAAATTAAAAATTGTTTTTTTTATTCAGCAAATACCTACTAATCGACACAAAATGTTTTGTTCAATTATCAATTTCACTGAACTTCTTATTCTAGCTAGAAATTTAAGTTAAAACAGAAATCTAATATTAAACATATGATTTCAGTAAGCCCCAAATGAACATCACTGGTGAATTTGTTTCTTCCGGTCGGATGTCCAACATCTATAACAGTTCTGTGGTCAAGTTCTATGACCATGTTTTCACAGGCTTATCTGGTGAGTCCAAGTTATTTCAATACATACATTTTATGAAAGAAACCTAAACTTTTTTAATTATTTAACTTTATATAATAATGTTCGAATTCTTTCATTCTTCCATTTTTTATATCTGCCCGCAGTTTGAAGTTTGTCTTTCATGTATTCTTTTGTTTTTTGTTAAGTTTTGATAGATTGCAAAATATGATGATATTTTTCTTTTATTTTTATAATTAATTCAAAATTTTTATTTTTCATTTCATTTTTTTACGATGACGCGTCAAGTTTTGAGATGAGGTACAAATTTTACACATTCTAAAAATAAAAATTTAGTAATTTGAAGAAAACTTGTAAAATTGTTTCTAGTTTATCATTTAGAAAGAAGAAATTATACAACTTATTTTTTAATTTTTTTCAATAGAAAGCTAAAAGTTTATTAAAAAATATTGCTTAACAAATCGAAATTATACAGATTCTTTTTTTTTTAGTTTCTATTTTATAATCACAAATTTAAAAAAAAATACTTAAAAAATCCAAAGGAATCAACTAATTTGAAAAAAAAATTTTATTATTTTTATGGACCCACGTGGAAGTTTTTAGAAGGGATATTATTTAAAGTCACCATAAATATTTTTTTATATTTCTATATATGGGGCATTCCAGGCCAAATCGGAAATTATTTTGCTTTTGCATCTCAAATTTTTTCTAAACATTTTTTTTCTTTTAATACTCTTTAAAATAAGCTACTTTGATTTTTTTTCAAATTTTTTCATAAAGCGGTTCAGAAGATACAGATTTTTGAAAAATGACGTTTTTTACATAATTTTTTTTAAATGCTTATAACTCAGTCAAAAATTGATTAAATTGGACGTTTTTATAATGAAAAGTTTTGTTTTAACGCGTAGTTCTTAATAAAAATATTTAAAAATTTTTTAAAAATAATTTACGATAAGATTTTAAAATTTTTAAAATAAAATTTCATTTTTAACAATGTATGTATCAATCAATCTTTTTCAAAATTTTTTGTAAGAAACTAGCAGTAAATTAACAATTTTTAAGTCTTGTCTGATCGTGGGCAAACGATGGGATCTATTTATTTGAAATTTTTAATTTTTATATACGCAGTGGTGGCCAAATGACTAACTTGCCATTTGACAAAATCACACATATTTTTCACAGCAAATGTGTTTTCATACTGAGTCTCTCCAAACTTGTCAAATGACAAGTTAGGCCTACCGTTTCCAGTGTGTATATAGAAATTAAATTTTTTTAAATAAATAGATCCTATCGTTTGTCCACGATTGGACAAGGCTTAAAAATTGTTAATTAAATGCTAGTTTCTTACATAAAATTTTGAAAAAAATTAATCAATACGTACATGGTTAAAAATGAAATTTTATTTAAAAAATTTTAAATTTTATCGTGAATTATTTAAAAAATTTTTTAAAATATTTTTATTAAAAACTACGCGTGATAATTTATTGGTTTATACACCCGTCTTAAGGTTATCTATTTATGCAAGTTTTTTAACATTGTACAATTCTTTTACAATTGTTCTTATACTAAATAAAGAACGACTTGAAGTTAGGAGTACTCGCATTTGCCTAGACCACCCATCTAATCGCTTGATAAATTACGAAAGCAGTGAGAAAACACTGGGCTTCAGCGAGAGTCGAAGCGTGGTCACCCATCAAAGTAAGTCTCCTTACATAAGAAGCAGCTAGGAATCTTCTTACAGTCAAAGAACATATGACCGACTTGACTGCACTTAAAGCACTTAGTCACATTGCATTGTCCTTTTCTTAATTGGGCAACATATAAAACCAATTTTTAAGTGTCCTAATTTCTCTAGCCTGTTTGTTTCTTCTGAGTTGGTGACTACAACCGCGAGCTTCATCCTGCTGCGGTTGGGCCCAAAGACCTTCTCCTCTTGCTTCCTAGCTTTCCGAGCGCTTCCGTCAACAGCTGTTGAACCGCTGGTTCTTGTGTAAGGCAATCCTGCACCTTACCCATAATTCCAAGTGCTTTGGTAACCTCATCAGTGAAAGCCTCCTTGTTCGAGACTACACTCTCATATGACTGACTTCTGGGTTGATCTCCTTGAAAAGTTTACCCAGAACGTCAGAATACGTTAATCTCTGTCCGACTCGAATCAGCATAGTGGTTCCCTTCGTTCCCACTATTTCCGATCTAGAATACTTTGACATTGGTACTTACGACGCTTTTTTATACGTTGTTATTGAGGGCGCTTTCCCCTTCTTCCTCTTATTTGCTGTGGTTTGAGTCTGCTTTGGACTGTCACTCTCTCTGATCCGTTTCTGAGCACCTCTAAAGACGCTTTTGAGTTTGCGTTCATAGGGAGCCTTCGCCTCACTCAGCAGGATTTAGATGACTTAGAGACCATTTTTTACAGTCCTGGTAATGCTTTTTTGGATGTCACGTGATGTTATCAGCCTTGTGCCCTCTAACTCCATTTTGTCAAGGCAAGTAGCCTCCTTCTTTTTGAGTCGCAAGCCTGCTTCGCAATTTTTATTTATCACCTCATCGTTCATCTCCTAGTGGATAGCTTCCTCTTCTCAGTCTTTCTCCTGTCCCGAAGTTCTGTTTATCCAATCTCTCCACGATCAACATCAACAACCATCGGCGGGGTGCACTCACAAGCTTCAGAAATTTCTCTATTACAAGAGTAGTAATAGATTAGAGGTAAGTCTTAACCCAGAGCTCACTGGCAATGTATAGGTAATACGAACTAATGTTGGCGTTTATCTATCTTTGGCCTTCTAAATTACGAAGAAGTTCTAAATACATTTGATCAGGGCCACCCCTGCTTTATATATAGTTTATTATACTACAAATGAAGATTTTATAGTGAAGCAGACTGAGATTTGGTTAGATTTTAGCAAAGAAGGCTTCATATTCATAATATCTTGATTCATTTTCTAGGTTGAGACCAAAGATGTATAAACTTCGACAAAATAAGAACCATACTAATATTCATATACAACCGTTAATACGTCCATAAATACGGCTGGCAGTATTTACTGCTTTAATTACACCACCATACTGAGGCTCGTATTTAAGGTCGTATTTACGGTCATATTTACGCTTGTAGTTACAGTCGTTTTTTCAATACGGTCAATGATAATGTTCCTGTAGAGAGGCATAAAAGGAACCCTTAAGGTGTTACATGGGTCAAGACGACCTAAAAACGTATGTTTTTTTAATAATTTTTTTTTATAAAATAAATAAATTTTTTTATTTGAACACTTTGGTATCTGAAAGTACACTATTAAATGAGAAAGATATTAAATTTTTTATAAAAAATATTGAAAATCAGTCCCGTAGCAACAGTTCTTCGGGCCTCTTTAAAAAAAAATTGCTTTTGCGGTGGTCAAGATATCTTTTGACTGCTTCATCTAAAATCAAAATACAAAAAATTTTCTGTTAGTGGGTGAATATATCTCATGATTAAACGAAGGGTTTTCAAAGAAATTGAAATTTGGATGTTTGACAGTGTCTTTTATCAAAAGTTAAAATTTTTAGAACCATTAAGACCATGTAAAATCGGTTCTAATCAACAAAAAAATATTCCTTCGTTCAATCACGAGCTATACTCATCCACTAACAGAAAATATTTGGTTTTTTGAATTTAAATGAACCGGTCAGAAGATATCGTGACCACTGCTTTTTTAGAAGGGTTCTCAAAGAACCTGTAGGTACGGCCCTGATTTTAAATATTTTTTAACAAAATTTTTACAAGTTACTCTTTTAATAGTGTACTTTTAGATATAAAAACACTTAAATAAAAAAATTTATTTATTTTATGAAAAAAAAAAATTAAACAATCATACATTGTCCGGACGTTTTGACCCACGTAACTCCTTAAGAATTATGTAAAGCTTAGCGCACAATGAGAGAGGGTGTTTCCTTTTTCCCTTGATTATGGGCATTACAAATTATCAAACATACAACGTACACTACAATAGTCAACATAATTTTAATATAAAATTGTCGAATGAACCTTAAAAATTTGTAAGAATTTTGGAGTCGTGAATTATAATGAGGTATGCGAAAATCGCTCCAATTAATTTGAATCGCGGAATACTTATCTTTTTTATAATATCAACCGTCACGAAGAACAGCTGACAAGATGCGTTTTTTACAATATATTTGATGCCTGATGATGTAATAGTACCACCAGGTGAATAATTGGAGCTTCACACTTCCACAAAGCAACTAAAAGAAGGGCTTTCTTCCAATATTTTTTTATTTCGAAATTACCAGGACTAAACAATACAAATTTATCCTATTTACAAATATAATAAAATATTATTACAATTCGTTACAAGGGTAAGTAAGCTTTAACTAAAAAGCACGGGATCCCATCAGGTCCAGGCAAATGCCTGGATCACGTCCTCCATGACCGGTCTGGATGTGTGCAGAATGCAAAATATCGAATATTTTTTCTAAAGGCAAAAAATATTTCACTTTACTACAATTACATTTGATTACTACAATTAAATCTTTTGTACTGCTTACTAAATTTTTCTCCAGTTAATTTTACATTATTCACATCCTTTAAATAGCCAATGTCAAATCAACCCACTAGTTATTGTCGTAAGAGAATATATTACATCCTTTATAGGTAATGATCCCCAGTGCTTTTAGTCAGGGTTGAAAAGTGTTGAGTGTATGTGCAAGAACTTTGAGTAAGAACCTACCCTATATATCCACTAACAGTAAACAGTTATAATTTTGTTGGTTGATCCAACCGTTAAATTGTTTAGATTTAGAAACTTTTGAAAAGTTGGTCCAACTCATAATTAACACCAAGGTCCTTACATCTTGTCACACTAAATATGCACATTAAGTAATAAATATATTTGGTTAAATTATTTGTTTATATATTTATTATGAAGATTTAACATAAAATTGTATATGTGACATTTTTGAAAATTAATTTTACAATTTCATTTATGATTTTTTTATTTTTAGATCCAAGAACAAATCATTGGTTTCTGATAAGTTCACCAGTACCAGGAGCAAGTATCCTTATAGGATATTTGTATTTCGTATTGTCATGGGGCCCAAAACACATGGAACATCGGAAACCTTATCGATTAAAAAATGTCCTGGTGGTTTATAACTTTATTCAAGTTTTGCTCAGTATATGGCTTTTCTATGAAGGTCTAGACGCAGCCTGGTTAAAAAAATATAGTTGGAAATGTGAACCTGTGGACTTCTCAAATTCACCAGATGCTTTAAGGGTAACTTTATTTTATTTGTAACCATAAAAAATTTAAAGCGTCTATCTTAATTTGCTCGTAGATAGCACGTAAACTATTCAAAAACTTGTTGTCTGATTGATAATTGAAATACGGTTTCCAAATAATATTCGCATATTCGACTTTGCTTCGGACATGAGAATTAAATAACATTACTAAGATGTTTTTATTACTAAAGTCTTTTGTAGAACGGAATAAAAAACCCAATGCTTTAGAAGCACTTACGATCATATTCGTGTAGTGTTCTTTAGAGGTTAAGTGTGAATCAAAATTATCGCCTTGGTCGCAAATGGAGAAAACTCTTTCTATTATGCCGTTGTTTAAGGTGTAGTTCATTTGTAATGATATGATTTTTATTTGCTAGGAATTCGCTTGCCGGGTGGAATCCGGTTTTCCTTAAACATTAATTAAATAATTAATTATCCATAGTTAATGCCTTGAAGCATCATCTATCGAGTTTAAATTGGTTTCTGTGATTAAGAGAAAAGGCGTAGTCAATAACGAGATGAAATTTAAACCTTCGAAAGAAAAGTATATTTTAATAAAATAATAATATAATTCAATAATAATAAATAATTAGAAAATAGAATTAACAATAATATTGTAGAAAATAATAATAACAAATATTAGTAAATTAACATTTACTAATTAAATAATTATTTAGAATAAAATAACTGAGAGCGCGAGTAATGAAACATTCGATCATTATTTTACATACGTTTTCCTTTTCGCCTGAATCAATCGCATTCTGTAGAGTTTATAATTCACAAAACTAGTCTAGAATTAATTTTATAATCTAGCGTGACTGACGCGACCAAGACGTGCACTATGATGAGTTGAATCTGCTCTTCGTTAAGGCAGAATCAATCTTAAAATATCGGAACGCTGTAGATATTCTTGCCCGACAAAAAAGATTTGTGAATGAGAAACTCGATGGCGATTTCTTATCTAGGTAGCAGCCTGAGATAGGAATTCATCTCCGTCTCTTAGCCTCAGGTGTAAAAGTAGCACCTTTATACACCTAAGGTGCAGAGCTAGGATGCAGGATTACCTGTCTCCATAACCACTCATAGTAGCACCTAAACAGCGGTCTCAGAGATAAGGAGATTTTTACTATATCTTCACATAATAACACCTATGGAGAAAATTGAGGATGAGGAGTAAGTTCGTAGTCTTCCTTTCCGAGAAGCACCTCGAAGCATGTCAGACCACGAACTGAGGAGTTGGAATAGTGCAGTGAGGTATATGTATAAGGTTCGCTCTGTCGCGGCATGAAAAGAGCGAGTGGTGGGGTGAGAGAAGGCAGGCTATTTGCTATATTATAGCCCATCGTTTCAAATTGAATTGGGGAGTCAGATCTGGTAAAATATAAAACATGACATTTGTTTAAATTGATATCGAGTTTGTTAAAAGTACACTACTCCGTGAAAGTATCAAGGTCAGACTGTAAAGTATCGCACTCAGCAATGCAGTTCACTTCACCGAAAATTTTTACGTCGTCAGCAAATATAAGAACCTAAAATTAATTCCATGAACAATGTCATAAATATTTATCGTGAAAAGTGGTGACCCAAAGGACGAGCCTTGAGGTACGCTGCGTACAGGTGTAAGGGGTTCAAATGAGTGGCCTTTGATTGCAACGCGGTGTTGTCCATGAGCAAAATAGTTTAAAAGTAGTGATTGTAAGCTCGGTGAGATATTAGTATCCCTAAGGTTATTATCAAGAATAAGAGTCAATAAAGTCAAAAGCTTTTGTTATGTTTCTGTAGACAACGTCTACGTGTGAGCCCTTCTGGACGGCAAAGTTTACGAAATGGATAAAAGGTGCTAGGTTGGTAACAGGTTACTATTTCTTTGTACAGCCATGCTGTTACTTTACGACAAAGGAAGCGAGAGCATTAGAAAAGGATAAAATGTTATAATTATTAAGAAAAGAAGATGTCTTTTCATAAACAAGTAAAACTACCCAAGTGTCAGACGCCGAATTTATTGAAACTTTTCATACGTCAAGAGGGATAAAAAATAAGATATACGTGTTTTTTTATATCGGCGGTAACTGACTTTAAAGGGTAGAAACTACCCTTTTAATTTTAAGGGATGTAAATTCAATAGTTATCTTAAAATTGCTTAAATTCGATGGAAACTGGTTACTCGGGGGGTTTTGGGGTCGCTGATTACGAATTCGATGTCAGTTTTTCAAAATTCAAAATGGCGGTTCCAAAATGGCGGACGAGATTTCTAAAAATTGCTTAAATTCGATGAAAATTGGTTACTCGGGGGTTTTTGGCGTCGCTGATTACGAATTCGATGTTAGTTTTTCAAAATTCAAAGTGACGGTTCCAAAATGGCGGACGAGATTTCTAAAAATTGCTTAAATTCGCTAAAAACTGGTTACTTGAGAGTTTTTGGGGTCGCTGATTATGAATTCGATGTCAATTTTTCAAAATTTAATTCAAACTTTTTATTCTTACCATTGGAATTAGTTTTAAGTCAATCTCTTGAAGGAGCAGTCATTTGTTTTGAACCATTCTCTCGAATTAGTAGTCATTTGTTTTGAATCAATCTCTGAATGTAGGAGTCATTTGTCTTGAACCATACCCTCCAAGTAGCAGTCATTGGTTTTGAACAATACTCTCAAAGTAGCAGTCATTCGCTTTAAACCATGCTCTCATAGTAGCAGTCGTTTGTTTTGAACCAATCTCTCAAAGCAGCAGTCATTTGTTTTGAAGCAATCCCTAAAAGTAGCAGTCATTTGTTTTTAATCTATTTCTCAAAGTAGCAGTCATTTTTTTTAATTAATCTGTCAAAGTAGGAGTCATTTGTTCTGAATCAATCTCTGAAAGTAGCAGTAATTTGTTTTTGATCTATTTCTCAAAGTAGCAGTCATTTTTTTAATCAATCTCTGATAGTAGCAGTCATTTGTTTTGAACCATTCTCTCAAAGTAGCAGTCATTTGTTTTATTCAAAGCATAAGCTGTTTAGATTTTTTGCATCGTAAGTATAAAAACTTGGTCAAGTTTTTATTTATCATTCTTTCATTATTATTATCATTATAATTATTATTTATTTTAATTTTTCTTCGCTTTTATTTGATTATTTCTTTACTGTACGTTGACAAAGATATTGGATTGTGTCTTTAATTTTAATCTGTGTACTTGTGTATACATTTTCGTGTGTCCATCTTTTTCATAATATAATTTTTATATATGCATGTAATATATGTTTGTCGATTTGTTTGATATATTGTTATATTTATTTTCCTTCTGATTTCATTTAAAATACTTTCAACTAAATTTAGTTTATTAATCACAATATCGCTATGATGTTAATGAATCCAAAGAATATCTTAAGTATATTACAAAAAGCTTTCGATCGACCTGAATATGATCTGGAAAGCGTAATAACTGATGATGAAAAAGTTTTCAGTTCTCATCTTGAAAACTTGATAAAAGATTCATTAGACAGTATTTTCTTCATAAAAACTTATGAATCATTGCATTTTGAAAATTCAATACAAGATACAGACCTGTGTGCCATCGAGGATGATGATGATAATAATGATGATTTAATCAATTTTGAGCAAACTTCGAATGATGAGTCATTTGATAATTCGCGTTCACAAGATAAAGGCATTGAAGATAATTATAAGCAGAACGCTGTTGAATACTGGAAAACGGGAAAAAAACGATTACTAAAACTGGAGACAGTTCAAAGTAAATTTAAGCGCGTTAAATCAAATCGACAGTTATATCGTTGGGAGCAAGAAATCGTTAACGGAGGAAATCGAATTATGAAATTAAAAGAAATTTCGGAATATGTGCTAAACAAGTTTAATGAGGCTGTCGAAAACTCGATGACAGTTCACGACTTAAACATTCGTAGATGGGCTTTAGAAGCAAGAGATGAAATTTCCTTTCCACCTCATTTATTTAAAGCTTCAATGAAATGGGTTCACATATTCAAAACAAAACACCGAATTGTGTCTCGAAAAATCAATAAATTTGTGACAAAAAAATCCATAGAGCAGAAGGGTAAATTGCAACAAGAGTCCAAAAAATTTGTTGAAAAAATAAAGAAAGATATTTCTCTTGTTGGAGAACAAAATGTTTATAAACTCTGATCAGTCGGGGTTTAATCTAGAGATGCACACGGGGCGTACTCTTGCTTTCAAGGGTCAACAATCTGTTAAAGCTTTATCCCAATCAATAAACTCTATGACTCATAGCTATACTATACAGCCTCTAATTTCCGCAAATGGTGTTCTCTTCTCACGTCTACTCATAGTATTGCAAGAAAAAGACGGCAAGTTTGGGCCAATAGTAAAGAAAAATCTTTTTGAACCTGAAAATGTTCATGTCCTGGCTTCAAATTCGGGAAAGCTGACCTCTAATCTTGTTAGGAAATGGTTTGAAGAAGATTTTCTATCAGTAGCTAACGAGAAAACGGTCTCATTATTAGATTCTTGGAGTGGTCAGAACGAGAAAGCTTTCCAAGCATTTTCAAAATCTAATAAATATTACAAAATAGAAACCATTCCCGCAGGAACAACAGGATTGATTCAACCGCTTGATGTTTTCTTTTTTAGACCCTGGAAAAATTTTATCAAGCAATTTTCTTACATCGTTATTTTGCATAACTATGACATTAACTTGCATCTTCGGAACAACATCATCAAACTCCAATCACTTGTTCACAATCAGTTTTCTTCCCCTCGGTTTTCAAATTTATTAAAATACTCATGGTATAAAAGTGGATATTTAGAAGAAAGGCCTTTAGCATTTGAAAATCCGGTAGATTTTTGCTTGAAAAATTGTGCCCCAGTCTGCGACTCATGCACAAATGCTGCCGTTCTGAAATGTGCATGGTGCAAAAAATCATTGTGCATAAAACAATTTTTTTTATTACCATTATTGTAAAACTTACTCCCAATGATATGAATAAAGAGTTTGAATTAAATTTTGAAAAAGTAACATTAATTTCGTGATCAGCGACCTTAAAAACTCTCGAGTTATCAGTTTCCGGCGAATCCAGGCAATTTTTAGTAATCTTGTATACTATAATGGATCCGACATTTTGAATTTTGAAAACTGACATCGAATTTGTAATCAGCGACCCGAAAAACCCCCGAGTAACCAGTTTTCAGCGAATTTAAGCAATTTTCAGAAATCTCGTCCGCCATTTTGGAACCGCCATTTTGAATTTTGAAAAACTGACATGGAATTCGTAATCAGCGACCCCAAAACCCCCCGAGTAACCAGTTTCCATCGAATTTAAGCAATTTTAAGATAACTATTGAATTTACATCCCTTAAAATTAAAAGGGTAGTTTCTTCCTTTTAGAGTCAGTTACCGCCGATATAAAAAAACACGTATATCTTATTTTTTATCCCTCTTGACGTATGAAAAGTTTCAATAAATTCGGCGTCTGACACTTGGGTAGTTTTACTTGAAAGATAAGGAACGTAGATTAAAGGAACTTTAGGTATCTTTGCATTCAATATTTTCTGCATGGAATATTTCATCAGAAAGTTTCACCGCTCTATCAACAAAGTTATATAATTATATATAATAGAAGTTTTTTAAGTAATGGGATGTTTAGAGTCATAAATAATAGTTTGCTCAGAGAATGTAGGTTTTTTATAAACCAGTCGGTAATGATTTGATTTCTTTATCTATCAAGTTACTTTGAAAAACTTTTTTTTATTACACTTAATAAATGTTATATTTTTTGTGTTATGTTTCAACTAAATAAAAAAATTAGAATATTATTGTTGTAACAATTGTTATCATTATTTTGATTTAGATTGCTCGAGGAGTGTACATTTATTTCTTGGCGAAGATTTCAGAACTATTGGATACCGTCTTTTTTGTTCTAAGGAAAAAAGAAAGCCAAATAACATTTTTGCACATGTATCACCATACTGTTATGCCAATGATATCATGGGGTGCTACTAAATATTATCCTGGCGGCCATGGGACTTTTATTGGTAATGAACAAACTGTTTAAAATGTGATAATCAAACCCTTTTTCAGTTTAAAAACTTAAAACATAGCAAAATTTTAATCTTCCTTTTACTTTCTTGCAAAATTTCTTAAATTATTATTATTTTTTTAAATTACGAAAGTCGCATCTAACATAAATGTAACCCTTCGCCTTTGTCGTGTGGTAAAAGACTCATTTCGCAGTTTTAATTCATTTTTTATAACTGCAATAAATTATACAGAAATTTCTTTCCCTTTTTCAGTTACTCATTTTTATTTACAGGTGTTATCAACAGCTTTGTTCATATTATAATGTACACCTATTACCTTCTCGCTGCACTCTTGCCACAGTATCAAAAGTACCTCTGGTGGAAAAAATACATCACAACTCTTCAGATGGTAATTTATTAATATTAAGTGTTTCTATTTTATCTTTTTTTCAAATGTTAATCAGAAAAGTTCTTTAATATTGTTGGATATCCTAGAAATTGTTTATCAGATATCTAAAGACATCTCTAGAACATTTTAAGGCAGAACTAAAAATGTCTCTAAAATGTCCTAAGAAGATATTCTGGATATCTATCGGACATAAAAAAGATTAGATATGCTAGGGATATTATTAGAAATAATTAAATTTGAATATATGCATCAGGTCAAAAACTTTTTTTAAGGTAGGTTATTCAAAATATGAGATTACATCAAATTAGAGTCAATATAAATAAACCTACCGTACCTGTATCTGGATATTCAGGATATCCGGAATCTATTATACCCGTAGGATATCCCAGAAATGTCTTGATATATCTTGAGGACATCCTAGGAATATCCGAATTTCCGAGTGTGATAAGGACGTCCGTAGGATATCCTTGAATATCCGTTGTTTTTAGGGCAGATATCGTACAGATAAAATTTCGAATGACAAAATATCGCGTCCAAAATGTATAGACCTTTCATATAGGAAAGTATATTATTAGAATGTCAGTTTTATACTCATTTGAGTCATTTGTTATGAGGAAATGTGTCTGCAATTTGTGTTTCTGGCTATTTAAAATTTTAGATATTTTGGCTGCCATGTTTGAGCCGCCATTTTGAATTTCGAAAAATGTTGATCTTTTTTTATTCCCGTGTATTATGATATTAAAGATTAATGTCATTTTTTGAACATTTTCAGGGTCAATTTTGTCTGGCGTTTTTGCACAGCTGTCAATTGCTCTTCCATGACTGTGATTACCCTAAATGGTCATTAATATTTATACTCCCTAATGCGTCCTTTTTCTATTTCTTATTCTCGGACTTCTACAACAAGACCTACATTCCACCAAAGGAATTAAAATCGACAGCCGATGAAAAAGAAAAAATCAAAAGTTTTGAAGAAGAACACAAATTAAGTAATGGTATTAAAAATGGCAAAGCAAAAGAGGCTTAAATATTTCAGCGAATGTTCAAAAATATTTTTTTTAACAACTGTCTATTAAGCTTATTTGTAGTTATATTGAGAAAAGCTTACAGTTATAAGTTTTAAGAACCGAGCAGAATATCGTACATAAGAAAATACTTATATGACACTTTGTGTGTCAAATTCACGAGTCATTTTAGATTTTTTAATAAATCATTAAAAAAAATAGTGTTTCATAGAATGTACAGATTTTCTATCAAATAAATTTTAATGCTTGGACCTAAAAAATGATTAGGTTCATTACGACGAAACATATAGTTCCTTTAAGAATCTTTTCATAATATTAACCACCTCTAAGGTCAGAATGCGACATACGTAGCCTACATTTTTTTAAAAGATTTTCTCTAGAAAATAAAGCATTTCTATTTGATGTCAAAATTTTTTTTTGATATAAAATTGAAATATTTTATCAATATCATGAATCATTATCGGCATTTTAAATTTATTATGTAACTTATTAACAGATCACTGTATAAAAAATCATTTTTTCAACTTCAAAGTCAATTAATGAATTAAGTCAATTTTATAAACATTTTTTTAGATATATAAATCTTGTCTAACAATAAGCATAGTATTTTTATTAATATTTGATATTCATTAAAAGTAAGTACTTTGAATGTCTATAAATGTAAATTTGTTAATTAATCGTAATTAAGCACTTATCAGTTTATAAAATATGTGTTAAATTTATAATATTGATTTCTCAATTTGTTTATATATTTATAATCATGTACGATCATTTATAAAATTATCACACGCTTCGATGACACAAAACAAGATAAAATTTCTCAAATATACATTTTTGAAGCTTTCTGAAAAAACTTAAAAACTTTTTCTTTGCTTTAAAATTAATCCAACATTTTAATTTATTTTAATATTAATTAATTTAAAATTACTATGCAAAAAAATATATACATATATATTAACAGGAAATTTATAGAAATTTTTATTGTGAGCGGATTTATCTTCATATGTGGTATAAATATAGCTAACCCATACTAGATAATTAGATTGTATTTAATATTGACATGTTTATACATTTTGTAATATTTATGCATTTGTTAAAATTTATTTTTGAAATCAGTGGTTCACTCAAAAATTAGTTGATTATAGGAATTTTAAATTCTTAATTTTTAAAAATGGTTCTTATGCGGACTGATTTAAATGTATCTAATATTTAAAAAGAGATACAAATTTTAAAAAATAGTTCTTTCTCATATAATGGGGATATGACATTAATTAAAAAATAAGTACAGAGTGACAATATAAACCTTTATCGCTCACAAGTTTAAGATGTTACCAGACAACTATTAAAAGATATTAGAAAATAGTAGAAAATGTGAATTTATGATGTTTTCCATTGACATATAATGAAAAGAGAAAATGGCGTGGTATTAATGTATATAGAAGTATATCGTTTTCTAGTATGCGTGACAGCAATAAACAAATGTATCTTTCTAAAGTCTGAATATACTCTACATAAAAAATTTATCTTGATATTTTTATTTTTAACCAAAAAAGAAGCTTAATTGAGGAGCAAGCGGACAAAAGTTGATAGTCAATTTTTTAAAAAACTTTTACTCTGCATTTTCCGAGAATAATAATTATGTAATTAAATTTCCCAATAATCACTGTTACATTAAGAAAGAAAATTGTTAATAATGAATTATATTAATTTAAAAATATTTGTACTTAATCAACCAGATTAAAATTTTAAGTTTTTTGACTAAAGAAATGCCCAAAATTATAAAATTAATTATTTATAATTCACTTTAATTAATAATGAGACCTCTAAGTCCAAAAAGTATTCTGATATAAATAATTAAGTATATATCCTTTTTATTTTAAAATTAACTTTAATTATGTGTCAAATTGCATTTGTTTAAATTTCTCGAGATAGTCAACAATTGACTTATCTACTTTTGGCCGCTTACTCCTTAATTAATTCCTTTAATATTTTAGAAAAATTTATATGTAAACCAGCGCCTCTTCAACTGATTTGCGATCGTCTTCATTGCTTCTGCGTTTTCATTAAATATGACCACTTTCTTTAAATTTATATTGTTTAACATAAATTAATTTTGATTCAGTTTCTAAGGTTACATAAAGGACCCCGCACAAAACTCCCGAAAATCAGTTGTTTTTAGCTACATCATATTGAGTCTTAAAAAATGGGTAAAAAATAGCCAAACTTGCTCAAGACTCGAGACTTGTTGATAGCTCAAGGCTTAATGATGGCTTAAGGCTTGGTTATGGCTCAATGCTCGATCATGTTTCAAGACTTGGTTATGGCTCAAGGCTTTATTTGGGAGCACCTACAATTACAATTTTAATAATATTTAAAACAATCAAGGTTTGATTATGGTTCAAGTCTTGAGCTTGAGCTATAATCAAGCCTTAAGCCATAACCAAGCTTTGAACCTTGATCAACCCTTGAGCCATACCCAAGGCTAAAGCCATCATTAAGCCTTGAGACATAATTAAGCCTCAAGCCATCATTAAGCCTTAAGCCATAATCGAGCCTAGAGCCATAAAGTAGCCATGAACCATAATCGAGCCTTGAGCTATAATCAAGCCTTGAACCATGATTGAGCCTTGAGCCATCAACAAGCCTTTATTTTATAAATATGAAACTGCTATGATATTTAAAACAGTGCCTGTACTTCTATCTTTTAAATTAGGTGTGTCTTTAAGGTACTATATTTCATTCGAAAATTTGAGTTCACATTTCTGTTTACTTTTGGAAATTACTTTTGGAATTGTCAATACTCATTTTTTATTTCGATATATTCGACCTTTTATTTTAATGTCTTTTTAAGAAAAAATTTTGAAGAACGGATTTGAAATTAATTTATGTTTTTCACCAAAAACAATGTTGCATTTTATAAAGAGAAAGTGTATTTAATTGTATTAATCGAATTGATAATTTAATCTTCATAAAAATTGTATAATTTAACGAATTTATCATAAGTAAAAGTTAAGGTATTATTTTAAGTTATTATGAATGCGAGCTTCCAAAAAACCATTGCGCACATACAGTTTCCATAGAGATAATATAAATAGAGTTTGCAAGGTATAGACGGCAGCATGTGAGGGAATTGTCCTGCCATAAACGGAATGGGTTGGAGAGAGAAAAAAGATTTAACACCAGTATCTGTCCTTCAAATGAGCATTAGTTCAAGAGAGACACCTACTGGTGCTAATATTGTTTTCTCTTTCTATCAAGCGGACGCCTCTATACAGACAATCCTCACTCTATTTGTAATATCTCTAAGACAGTTTCATACATTGAAGATCTCAATGTATATTCATAGACTCACACATACTTTGGTCTAATAAAGTGATCGTGACAACGTCGAAAGTTTTGATATAATGTCTTCTTTCTTTATTTGAAATTTAGCGCTAAAAATATTAGACAAGCTGTAGTATTTAAGGAGCGTTGTTGATACGTTTACAAATTCGTCTTTATCTTAGAGAATTTTTTCAATTTTTAGTTCCGACAGCCACTGCTAAATGGATATTTAACTTTTTATTACTTAATTTTAAGTCCCTTGGTGTAAGGATATTTTCAAATTTCCTGACTAAATTACCGAACGTCTTTATTTCCGCCTGCTCCCGAGGAGAGATGTCGTTATATTATACACGTACTAGAAGTTTTATCTCGAGCACAAATGGGCACGGTGCGCCAGAAGCAAAAATTGGTTTTACAAAAATGCGGACAAAAACGGTTTGTGTGTAGCATGTTTTGTATGTATTTTTAGGTTAAAAATCCGTTTGAATTAAAATCCTACCTGTTCTAGTTTTCAAGAAATCCATAAAATCTGTTTTCTTCTTTATCATATCAAATTCGTTTTATCAATTATTAATGTTTTAAATGTTGTATTTACTTCCTGTTAAATTTATTTTACAAATGTTTTGTTTAATATTTAATTGTATAAAATATAATTAATTGATATAAAAATTAATTTTTATACAAAACTTATTAACAATGTTGATATTTAAACGTGCTGTGAAGAAAATTCAGCTACGGCCTTCTTCAATATCTTTTTGAGTAAGATTTATCGTAAATGGAGTTTATTTTATATTTGTTCCGATAATTTAAGAAATTTCTGTGAATAGTTTCCCCAGCTTGTTCAGACCATCGTCCTAATCCATTTTAATCTAAAAAATTGGAAACAAGCTGACTGTCGCGTCACAGGTTATATTTTACGTAAATTTCCGTTGGATTCACTAATAACCAATGGCTGGATTCTTTTTACTGTTATAACCGCTTGAAAGCGGGCACTGAATTTAAATTTGAATTTATTATTCAGATTAAAGGTGGGATAAATAAATGTACACTTATAATTGATTGGAAAAACCCCTTTCGGGTAAGAAACCAATTTTATTTAAGTTCAAATATTGTTTCTTTTAAATATACACTTCACAATTCTGTTTTACAAATAATTGTTTTATTGTTAAATATTAATTTAACAATTTATATTGTTTGTCGAAGGTTTGATTTTATTCACACTTTATAAGATTCGTTGATTTTAACAATATATAATACTTTTTGAAGATATACACTAATAATTAGTGGTCTCTTCTCAAGTCTCGAGAATTGTCTGAAGCTTTGGGTCTCAGGCGCTCTCTTTATATACCCAACTAAAAGGGGGGAAGTTTACCTTCCCCTCTTTGTTTAACCAATCAGAGCGCTGATGACGTGGCACTTGACCAATAAGCGTTGAACATTCAAGGTCAAGTTATTGCGCATTTTCCAAATACAAAAATAATGACACGTGTCAAGGTTAAATTATTACGCATTTAACAGATCTCAAGGTCAGATTATTACGCATCCTACAAATGACTCATTATTGTTATATATTTTACTGCGCAGTTTTTAACTGCGCAATAAAATAACTGTCATACGAAGATTTACAATATAATTTTGCAGTTTTTTCTTATCAATAATAAGAAGTACAAATACAGCATTTCATAATCATAGTTTCGTTTCATTTTTAAATTATAAGTAAAATATTTAATGCATATTCCTTAATTAATTAAACACTAATAATAATAATAAACTTAAATTAATATTATATCTAATTACAGTTTTATATAATTATTTATAATAATAGTTTTACAATATTCTTAAATAATACAATGATTACACGATAGAGAGAGAAAGAAAAAGAACAAATGTCAAATAGAAGGTCTTTTCAATTTCTGAATCAAATAATAAATATAATATTAATAATAATAATAACAATAATAATAATGATATTTAATTGTAATATAAATATAACTTTAGATTTTTAAATTTGAATCCTCCAATGATGACAATCGAAAATTCCTAGTTCATTTATATAGAATTTCAAATTCCCTATAAAATTTACTAGGCACTGATGCCAGATGCCACACCTCCCCACACAAAAATGTGGCACACCTATGCGTGTGTCCACTTTAGAATTTATTTTATTATAAAAAATATATAATTAAGTGTTTGTTTATTTTTAAAGTATTTTGTGGTATTTTTAAATATTTATTCCCCACGAAATTTATATCTCAATGGATTAATTGTGTTCTTTTTTTCAAATATATTCTTAAAATATGGATGAGAATTTTCCTTTTTGGAGCAACAAAACAAAATGGTGAGTAAAAGGTATTCTTATTTAAGTAATTATAACATTTAATTATATGCAAATTTTATACAAATAATTACAAGTTTTATACAGATAGTTACAAGTTTTATACAGATAGTTATTTCTCTAATAAAAAAAAGGTAAAAAAAAGGATACTTTTTATCAAAATGAAATAAAACTGATTTTTATTTAAGAGAAAAATGAAAACTTGTTTTTCTTATATAATAATAAAAAAATATGGTGTAATAATTCTCTTTTTTTTTATTATTTATTATATATATATTTTTTTATTTTATTTTTATTTATTTTTTATTTTTAAAAAAAAATTTAATATAATTACATTTCATTATATAAAAAAACTAAACGAAATCGTCTTTCAAAGAAAATTTTAAACAACAAAACTCTTATCTATATTAATTAATACCTCCTTTTCACAAAATAAAACAAAAAAATAAAAAACTAAACATAACTTTCTCTTTTTTTTTGTTTTTGGTAAAAAGGTTTTTTTTTTTTTTTTTGTCTGATAAAATTATAAAAACAATATATATACATGTAAAAATAGTAATAAAAAAATGGGGGCGAGTTTTTCTTTTAGCGATCGACAATATCGCCGTTACGCTGTTCCATTGGAATCTCGTCGTTATTATTGAGGATTAAAAGAGGAAGATCATCCTCTTCCTCATCCATCAAGTGTACAGGAGCAACAACTTGAGCCTCATTGTCGTCTGGATTGTCCTCGAGATCTTCGGGCTCATAAAAGATTTCGTTCTCAATTATATTTATTTTTATTAAGAAGAGTTGAGTTGCGCGGGGAAATGTGCTGTCGTCCGGAAATAGACAGCGGAGATAAGGGATGTTGTTGCTCTCGAA